GGTTTTTGGTGAGTGAGGGGCCAGAGCCTTTCCCGAGCCGTCCAGAGAGCGTTTCTCCACTCTGCTACGTTCCAGCCCTTCATTGCTTCCCGTAAAAGCAGTCGTAGTATCTGAGAGCTGTCGCGCTTCGGCACCGGGCAAAAATGTAACTTTGCCTTGAGAAATGAATGGGTCCAACACCTAAGACGAGCTGATCCCTCATTCCAGAGTCAATAATTAAGTTGCAAATACAGTCACCTTCTCTGTATTCATCGCAACCAAACTTCCTATAACATCAGAAGCCTGTGGTGACTCGTTTCTTCTGTCATTTCACCGAGTCTGAGCCTGTGAACCTGGTTTACAAGTGAAATAATAGGAACTACCCTTCCGTACTCGTTTTCTTTCTTTCGTTGACTTTGCTAACCTCTTGACAACTTTATTTACATGGTGAACATGGATTATTGCTTCATAAGCAAAAAGAAAAGAGGTTTAAATACTGAATTTTGATGCATAATACGCTTTGGACTTTGCGTGGAAGCCTTAAAGATATTGTTTCTTGTAGGAACCTGCCACATCAGACTCAGATTCCACAGCAGCGGAGCGCAGGTTAGTACTGAGAAAATACTGTAACTCTTGGAGCAACTAGTGCAGAGGAATCCCTGGTCCAAACGCAGTCAGTCTGTGGTCAGGGAAGCGTCCCAGCACTGTCGGTCCAGAGTCTGATCGTTAGTAAAATATCTGGGATGGGATTGACTGGACAAGTAGGAGAAACGCTGCCTTAGGACTCAGCAGGAGACAGTGGAATCTGGCATGGCCAAGTGAGAAATGATTTTCTGTTGGAGCATGAAGCTACAGCCAGATCCCCCACCCCAGCCCTGCAGTTGCGCTGCTCAGATCCGCTAAAGCTTGAGTGAAATCGGAATTTCTCATTCCCAGCAGGACTAGTTGAGCTCTTCCCTGCTGTTCCTAAACATAGAGAGTTCATTCTGGGGCACGTGGTGAGGCACAGATCTGTGCTGCAGGTGTTCCGTGCCTTGGTCATCACTTCTGCACGATTTTCACAAATCCTCACGCGCTGACTGAGGCTGGGAATGATCCCTCAGGGTGTCAGCTCAGGCCGATTGTTCTCTCTAGGTAGCGTATCCGCGCTGAGAACACGCCACAGCCTGAGCCTGTGAAAGGGGAGAAGGGTCTTACACGGAAAATGTAGAGGCCAGAGTTTAATTTTTGAATATTTGAAGAGGTATTTAGGTGAAACTCGAGTTATAGACAGGCATCCTGTATGACGGGAACTCCAGCTCCAAGAGGAAGGCTTGTTTTGCTTAGGAGGTACAGAAACAACTTTCTTTTCATTCAAAACCCTTCTTCTTCATTACTGCTTTCGGGGATTAAAGGAGAATTTCGCATGACAACATTTCAAAGATTTGAGGCAAGTATATAATAGACGCTTCTGCCCGTGTGGGATTGTTTTTTTGTCTTGTTATCTGGAAATTAAAAAATGTTTATTAAAAAAAAACAAGCAAACCACCCACCGCACACCTGACTGCAGCTCTGCTGGCTTGGCTGGGTTTGTGCTTCGTTACACGTGTGGGGGAACAGGTGGGTGCCCGCGGTGGGTCGGCCCGGAGCTCAGCTCTGAGCGCTCCCTGCCGCGCGCCTTGAGGGGGCAGAATGGAAATGTCACACGGGTCAGCTCTGCTGCTGGGACTGTGCTGTTACAAGAGTTCTGGGCTGTCTCGCAGTAAAAAAGAAGAAGATGCAAAATCACCCGGTCGTTCTTGCCAGCAGTGAGAAATTTTTTCAGAAGGTAGGAAAGACCTTGCAAATTGTGCTGATGAGCTGCTGTGGAAACAGACCTTAAAAATCCTCCCGTGCCTGTGAGTTGTGGAGTACGTTGGGGTGGTAGAACACACCTGTTCTCGCACATTCGTCACAGGTGCTGCCCCTGAGGGGCTCTCAGGAACCGAGGGGAGAGAAAATGTATTTGGGACAGACAGTGTTGCCTCCTCTTAGTTGGCCCTGACGCTCGCCTTTGTGACTCCGATGTGCAGACGACGCTGCAGACACTCTGTGACACGATGGCACGTGCTCTTGCAGTTGTCTTCTGAAAGAGAGCTGTGACTCGAGTTGGTGGAAGGTTAGAGTTTTAGAAAGTTATTATTTAAAACAAAATTCAGGCACTCCTAAGATGTATTTTTTTTTGTGGTATCAGTCTGAACTTAAAAATCAATTCTGTGCATTTGTTCAAACTAGAAATTTATAGAACTGGTAGTATCAGTCTGAACTTAAAAATCAATTCTATGCATTTGTTCAAACTAGAAATTTATAGAACTAAAACCCTTAAGGCCAAAAACGTGATAGAACTAGACATTATTTAATTTTCCTCCTTTCCTGCAGAGAATTCCCAATGACATACTCGGGATTGTTGGTCAGTCACCACTGAAGCAGCTCTTTCTGTTGTAAAGCTTGAGCAGGCCGTACGTAGTAATCTGAAGGGCAGACCTGCTCTGAAGGAACTACCCGAATCCCCAGTAAGAAACACTGGACGTTTGTTTTGTGGAACCTTACGTAAAAATGCAGCCTCGATAGCTGTCGTAATGCTCGACCAGTTCCAAAACAAAAATGTAATTGGGACGGAATTGTATGAAGGGCGACAACTCCCATCGGAGGTGTTTGTTAATGGCGCTGCTGGAAACTGCTGCTGGTCTCCAGTCCGAGAAGGTGCATTTTACCTTTCACAGCTGCCTCTCTGTCCATCGGCTGCTCGCAGGTGCTCAGGTGAGCAGGTTTATAGGATGTTCCTCCAAGGCACGAGAGTGCCCAGTGCCCGTGCGCCGCACTGAGCTTTCCAGTGGCAGCTGCGCAGACTCCCTGTGGAGGCTGTCGGCTCCCAAACAGACAAATAAGCTCTCGGTTAAACCATCCCCTCCCTTCCCAGAAGCAAGCGAGCGGCGCTGGTGCGGGTGTGTGCCCTGTTTTGCCCCACCGTGTACTCGTACCGTTTCTCCAGCGTGGTTGTTGCTCAAGGCCCAGCGAACATTCGTTACGTGCTGCTCTACCGGGGGACAGGTCAGCGCTGGGAAGGCTCACCTGCCCCCGGCCCGCCGGCCTCTCTAAACTCTCATCTCTTTGCAGGTAAATGGTATTCCTGAGGAGAGGAAACTAACAGAAGCGAGGAATTTGTAATCGGAGAAGGAGCAGTTTGTCTTATTCCCTTACCCGCTCGGCTTGATGCATGAGGTGTTTTCTTTCCCTGGTGCCCAGCGTGCATGTCCCCAGCGCTCAGATGAGTTCAGTGCCAGAGCACAAGCCCTCCCGTGTAACCCACCTGCTGTAGCCTTTTGTACTTGGGACATTTTTGACGATTTGTAAACACCGATAACTTTTTATATTTGTTACGTTCCGGTAAGATAATCTTTCCAATGTGTGTGTTAATAAATATCAACCTTCGTCCTGTCTCGTGATCTCTCCTGGAGGTTTTAACGGGGGAAATCAAAACTTGGAAGGAAGCGCCGGGTTCAGGGGATTTGGGGCTCTGTTCATCGGGATGATTTGCCCCCAAAAAGCAGTCGTGTACGAGCGTGAAAACTCACGCAGCGTGATGAGGCGCAGCAGTATCATTCCAGATTTACTAGGCATTAATTTTTTTAGAGATGTTGTAATGAGCAAAGTTAGTTTTGGATAAAAAACCAACAAAAACCAAAGCCTCCTGTTGAAAATTGGATTTCTGGTCCTTGACCAGATATTTAACCTATTTGCCAACTTGTAAGCAATAAAACTTTTAACATTCATTCAGCTGGGCACGTTACAAACTGCTGCAGTCGGAAATTAACGTCTGCAAGTGAGCAAGGGTGACGTTTGTTACGCTTTGCGTGGGCTAACTTTTGACTCTTTAAAAATACTCTTCAAAATTTTGTTGTGTGAGATTCCTGATGCAGTTTATTCTTTGTATAATCCAATCAGAGCAAAAGAGTTGCGAGGGAACTCGGTAGCAGACAAACCAAGCGTTATTTTTTAGCCTCTTCAAAAGGAGTTGGTTAAATACGTCCTTCTGGGGGCGGCTGCTCCTGTGAGAGGTTTGTCTGTGCAACTGAAATCTCAATAATTTGAGCTTCCTTAAAAGGAACTGAGCTTGCCTCAGTTTTCAGTACATGGTGATAATTCATCTCCTGATACTGTTTTGCTTGTTTTAAATGATTTTTTTTCCCCCGATGCTCTAAATTCTCAGATACCGAGTGTGGCAGGACTCGGCTCTGCAGCTGTAACAGCCGCCCCAGCAGTTCCTGGGCCGTTACTCACAGCACCGCACTGTTCTAAGCTGACACTTACGCTTTGTCTTTTTTATTTTTCCTTCCTGTAATATTTTCTCTTGCAGAAGCTGTATGTTCATCAGGACATTGCATTGTAAGCAGAGAGTTTCACCTGGTTTAAAATTGCTAATGCTGGCTGCCTTGCCTTAGCTGAGGTTTCCGAGGCGTCTGCTAAGAGAAATCCTGAGTAATTCAGGAATTTAAGACTGAGGCTAAAAGGAAACTGTAAAATAAGGTGACTAGAGTTTGTGGAAAGACTAAGGAGGCAGTTTGGGGTTTTTCTTCTCATTTTAGTTATGTCCCTGTTTCCGCAAAACACAAAAAACCTTGTTTTGTTTGCTTTAAAATTAACAGTGTTTATAGGTTTGGACCCAAATGTGGCACCGCTGCTTTTTTTTGGGCACGGTTTGTGCAACAAGCTTGATAAATATCATGGCAAAGCGTGTCGGCGGGATCAGGGCATCGTACACGCTCGCGTATCGTCAAACCTTACCCCGGCATCGCCAAACCTTACCCCGGCATCGCCAAACCTTACGCCGGCATCGCCAAACCTTACCCCCGACCCCGGCTCGGTGCCCGCGCCTGCCCGGGCCGCTGAGCACAACTGCCCAGAACAAAACACGCGCACGTCGCTGCAGGAGCGCTTCCCCTGCGAGAGGGAGCTCAAGCTACGGTCACGGACGTGGAAAAACTGAAGCTCCTAAACCAGCTGGAATGAAGAGCCGTTCCTGCTCACGCTCCAAGTGGCGCCCACCTCACCCAGCAGCTCCCAGGAAGAGTTCTCACCGGCCAGTCGGCCTCCTAAGAGACCCCTCCCCTATTTTTTTTTTCCCCCCAGCAGCTTGGATGGTTGAGTGAAAACTGAATTAGAAATCTGCACGCCGAGATAACCAGTGAGTGAGCAATTTACGGCTTTTACCCTCGCTGGGAAAGATCTGAGTCCAATGAGCAATTGGGTTTCCATTAGTTTCAACTGCTGTGCTCAAACGTATGAGCTGTCAGGGCTTCGAAACCAATGAATGGATTTTAATTTCTTTTTTTAACGTAATGTAAGACTAAACTTTGTAAATAGTGTTGGGTTTGGATCGTAACAGTTTCTGATAACTTGGGGGTGGCAGTTCAGGCAATCAAATGCCGACTGAGCTACTCCCATCTTACTTGTATGAATACGTAAGAGCGCCAACGTGTTTAAGGAGATTTCCTGACCTGTGACGTACGTGGGTAAAGCATCAGGGGGTAGCGGGGCTGCTGCCCCGGTTCTGAGAGGAATCCAGTGATGCAGGGGATTGGCTCTGAAGCACACCTAAGCTGTTTTATGATGGAAAGCTTCATTTATTTAAGGTACGCTTAAAAATAAATTATTTATCTTTACTAATTAAAACAATTACTGTGGAAGCATAGATTTATACCGCTGGCTAAAGACATGCCACTAGGAATAGTTTGAAAAGTGCCAGTAGCTAAAACGTGTAAATTCACAGCTGCTCCATGTCCCATTGCGGTAGGAACAGATACTGTGTGAAGTGACAGTTGCAACAATTAAAGAGAAAACACTGCAATGTCCTTGTAAATATACATGTGAAAATCTAATAAAAATGAAAAATTACGTCGTGATATTGGTGCCTGGTTATTTGACGTAACGATGACAGTGACGCTGCACCTCAGGACTGAGGCGGAGCCGAGGGTGCAGGGTGTCCCTCCGGCTGGCAGAGGTCCCCGAGGAGGGGCTGGGGCTGGGAAGGACGAGCGGGGTTTGCACCGCGGGGCTGAGGTGCTCGTGCTCGCTCTTGCCTCCCTGACACCAACGGGGATAATTGGATCAGAGCCGGGACGGTGCGATTCAGGAATCCTCCTGCCTGCGCTGCGTCTGCCCTCGATGGGGGTGAGGATCTGCCCTGTGTGCCCACCCTCGCTCTGGAGAAGCATCTGTCACGTCAGGCAGGCGTAACAGGGAACTGCAGCCCAGCTGGAGTCAAGGAGTGAAAAGTTTTTACTTAATTGACGTTGCTCCCATTACAAAAATAAGCATCCACAGCACATTTATTTAATGTTTAAATTACTTCATATTTTTTTACATAACCTGAAAAGAAAATATATTTATCCCACGTACAGTGATAGTAAACAAGTGCATTATTTCAAACATTAAAAATAAATCTTTTAACCGAGTCTGTACAACAGATAAATAAAGTATCTACAAATACTTAAGTTGTGAAGAACAAAAACGTTATCCCTCGAACTCCCAGCTCCCCAGCGCTCCTCATACTGGCACAGACGAAGGTTGGGCGTCCTGCCCCCGGCTCCAGTGCTCACCTCGACCCCTCCTTCAGCCCTGCCCCAGGAGGCTGCTGCCCCAGACATCCAGCGAGCAGCCGAGGATTCTGTCCCACAGCTCCAAGCAGCCGGCAGGCTCAGTGAACCTGCAGAACTGGAGGCAAGGAACCGATAGGTTTCTTCTTTTTTATATGATGAATCACTGGTCACTCTTTAAAAGAAACTGTTCTCCACCAAAACCCAAACACCGCAGCTGAAAAACTGAAGCCTTTCTGTTCACAATTTTTTTCCCCCTCATTAGTGGCTCTAAGTTTGAATTCAGTTTTGTAACTGGGATAAGATCGAAAACGTGCACGTGATAGTACGTACGGTACAAATCAGGATTCCTGTTTTCTAGAATCAAACATAATTGCACAGATGCTCAGAAAACAATATTGTGCTCGTGGTTTTGACTGCTAACGAGTCGTCAGGAGAAGAAGAAAATGAAAAAGCAACCACCAGACAAACCATCACTTGAACCAAAACCACAAACACCAAAGAAACGACCATAATTGTACCAAGTGGAAAGTAAATTACAGCTTGGCCGCCAAAGGGCCTTTTCTTCCAGCTTTATTTTTTATGCCACGAGCCAGTAAGAAAGACGGGCACTGCTAAAAAGGACCGAGGGGGGGATAAGGTTCCTTCCGAACAGCCCCCGTCTCGTCCCATTTGTAATTCTGAGACTCACCCATCTGCACACAACAAGGTGACCCCTCGCTCCCTCCTCCTGATACCGACAGATCGACTTCCGGGCATCCTCGACTCGCCCCATTTGAATGAAAATGCTGTTACAGGACAGGGTGTGGCATCAGCTCCCCCACGAAACCTCGGTCGGGGGCACCCACAGCCTCAGGCAGAGCTTCAAACATCACCATTCCCCTCTTCCCTTTGTGTAAGATCTGCCGGAGCGGACACGACGGGATTTCGTGTGACCGGAAAAGGTCGGAGGTCTTCCAAAAATTCTCCATCTCAAACCCAGTCTCCCAAAAGGATTCGTTTGTTAGTTCACCCAGATCGTACAGAGAACTGCACCTAGTTAAATGAATTAGTGGAAAAATTATGAAAAACAAAAACAACTGTAGGGA